GATCAAGGAGGAAGGAACGCAACTTATTGATTTGACTCCTGTTGATACAGCTTTAGAAGCTATCGCTCGCCTTCCGCCCGCTGACGCGCCAATCATTCGGTCTTGGACTGCCGCTGACACAGCGCTTTGCGTTTCTACTATTGTAGGATATGTTGTGACTCTGACACTTGACTTCCTCCTCCACAAGCGAGTGAACGCCGTCCAAGAGTCTTTCAACAAGTGCACGTCCGGCCTTCCGCGCATGTTCCGACATGATAAAACTGACCAAGAACCTGAACCTGAGAACTCAACAAACCTGATTGAGATTATGCCTATCCTCGTCGAACGCCTATCCTCGTCGAACCTCTGACAGTTAGAGTAATCAAAACGACCCAATTCTAGATAATCCTAAACAATGCACCCCTATCCAGAGGTACCTAAAAAACCTAAAAACCATACTTGAGTAAAAGTAAAGATACCTTACAGTGAAAATTACTCCACTACGTCACCAATTAAACCACACTTGAGTAAAAGTACAGATACCTTACAGCGAAAATTTGTTACAAGTCACCAGTTACAAAACAACTTGAGTAAAAGTCTTAGAATATCTGATTTTAACAGTACTTAAGTATTTTACTTAGGTTATACTAAATATTGGCTCAAAGATGCACTAGTCAAAGAGACATGCCAGTGAAAAACTGTAACGCTGTGCATCTCAAGCTGATGACGCTGCCGTGAGAGGTTTGGCACGACATGCAGCGGCACCGTCTCAGTCTCTGTCCAGCGCAGGTGAAATAATTATAATGCTGAAGGTGAGGTACTCACTAATTTCACAAACGGTGTGAGTGAATCACCGCACACGCTCTCTCTTTCTCTCTCAAAAATACGCAAATGGCTTCAAATCACCACATCGCGTCTGTCTATAAGCGAGCTGCACGCTGCACAGTTGACACAGGCATTGTCACTTGCACAATTGAGGCAGTCACATCATAACGAAAGTTTATAAATTGCATTTCATTTTAATTCTTGCGAGTGTTTATCCATTCAGTGCTCTCCTGAAGACCGTGCGCTCATGGCACACTCACAGCGCACACACATAATGCCAGGCTCACTTTACTCCGTTTGCAGTGCGTATGCGGTGCGTATTTTTTCCGCGCTCATGTTAACGGATTAATAAAGCGTGCACACTGCACACGGTTGTGGTCCGGTGTTGTACCGAATTCTGCACCCCTGCCAGATTATGCACCCCCTCGTTGAAGTCACTACCTGATTGCCTAATCCCAACCCCACCCCTAATCCTAACCCCTCCCCCACACCTAAATACGAGGGGGTGCATAATTTGACAGGGTGCAAATTTCGGCACTACACCGGCAGTGCGTTCCACGAGCGGTGTGTCTGCAGCAGTGCAGAGATCGTTTCCACACCGAGTCTATTAAAGTAACAGCGCATTGTTTTCAGTAAATATGAACATGGATTGACACGAAAATGTATAGTAATTACACCATAAATGCATATTATTAAAGTCACATATGGCTTTTTGGCTGGGTTTAAAGGGAAAGAGCACTTTTAGATAAAGAAGGCAATAATAG